ACTTTTTGGGATTAGCTTCTCTTTACTAGAGCAACATATGTTGATTCATCTATTTCAAGCAAATAAGAATGATTCATTGATCAAAGCAGTGGGTGTAAATCATTAACTCAACAGCATTTTTCACATTCATCAAAATCATTCACAAGTAACAGCAGAGCAATTACCATAATAGTAAAATTCCAGTGATTCTTCTGGGGCATAAATTAAAATGAGCAGGTAATCTCTGTCTTTATGTGGCTAAGTTGAAACATTAGTCATCCCGAGCTGATGAGCAGCCAAGTCAACTCCAGGTTCACCTCATTTTAATTAACGTCCATCGATCATGAGCGAAGAGCTTTGCTCGGACACTGATGTGTTAGGGGTGTTCTGTTTTTATTATTATGCAACACCACCATGTTTACATCTTTTTACAAAAAGCAAAGCCAGTCCTGCTTGAAACTCAGGCAGTTGTTTTTAGTTTAATGTTCTACCTTTGCGTGGTCCTTTCAACAGCTCATAGTGGTAAACTGCAGGCTTGTAAACCGTCATGTAACTGCGGCAAAACAGGTTTAAATGCTGTGTGATAAATGCGAGGACGCTGAACGCTGACAGGAGGAATGCACCCTGAATGACATGTGCAGTTATGGAAAGTGCAGGTTCCACTTTTCCAGTTTTGCCTACCTGGTGAACCCGGGCTCTCATGAGAGCGTTAGTATTGTTTCTACCTGCACAAAAGACCCACAGTTGCATCGCTGCTGTTGAGCTGAAAGTGAATGAAGTTGAAAGGAATCCGATCCAATCACACTGTTTTCAGGATGAGTCCACAAAGACTCCACATGCCACCTGAAACCGAATGACTCGGGGATGATTACATCATTTTCTCCGGGCCCCGTCTTCTGAAAGTAAAGGGAAAAAGTAACTCATTAACAGAAGACACAGTGTCACCTAGTGGCTCTGTGGTGTAATTACAAAGCTTTGTCTTTGTCTACTGTTTGTCTACTGTCCAGTTTTCTGTTGTTGATGGACACATATGTGCTGCTCAGTGTCTCAATGTGTTTGCTTGTGTTTTGAAGCTATGAAAGCTGACCGTAAGCGGCTGAAGGTGGAGAAAGCAGACTTGGCGAATCAGATGCAGCAGCTGTACACAACACTGGAGAGCAGAGAGGAGCAGCTGCGAGAGTTCATACGCAACTACGACCAGCATCGAAAGGTAACGCTGTCAGGTTTTGTCTCTGTCTCTGTGTGTCTGCATTCCTATCCCAATTGTCAGTATATATTTTTAAAAAATAATAATAATAATCCAACCCACACGTAGAGGTATTTTGAATTATGGCTACCTTACATTTTGTTTTCTACCAAAATAAAAACAAGAAGTTTTTCAACTCTAAAAAGTTTAACCAGTCTGATAGCACTTCACTTAAATCTATTTTATATTTAAAACTAGTGAAAAGGGCGGTTTTTCATTTGTCCAGCTGTACAGAGATTTTTAATAATGGATTGGATTTATATAGCGCTTTTCAAGGCACCCAAAGCGCTTTACAATGCCACTATTCATTCACTCTCACATTCACACACTGGTGGAGGCAAGCTACGGTTGTAGCCACAGCTGCCCTGGGGCAGACTGACAGAAGCGAGGCTGCCATATCGCACCATTGGCCCCTCTGGCCATCGCCAGTAGGCGGTAGGGTAAAGTGTCTTGCCCAAGGACACAACGACCAGGACAAAGAGCCCGGGGATCGAACCGGCGACCTTCCGGTTACAGATACGCTTCCCAACCCCCTGAGCCAGGGTCGCCCCTGTTTTAACAGTTAGCGTTTTTACTGTTCTACCCATTTATAGACTGTACATGAAAGATGGATGTAGCCACGGTGACGTCATGGTTTGTGTATTCCCATTTTGGTACTTTGGGTATGTCTTAGTAATTAGCAGTGTTTTCACACCTAGAGTCATTTTATTGTGGTCCCATCAGCAGATAGGTTTGACACTTTGTGACTTTCCCTGTGGTTTGGTTTCATTTCACACAGAGAAAAATCCAAGTGAACCACAATGTGTCATTACAAACCACGTAAGAACATTCAGTCTGCTTATAGACCAGATGTGTCTGGGGCATGAGCAGCAAGTGTAAATACAGGAAGGTGTTGCATTCTGGACTATTTGAGAGCATGGAGAATTTATAATCTTTTCATGCCTCTTTGCCAACCCTTACTGACTTGTGCGCATATAGTATAGTTCAGTTTAAACAGACTAAACATCGCAGGTGTGGAAACACCTTCGGATATTAATTAGCACTGTTGACAGGCTTAACTGTTTCTCTACGATGTAACAGTTATAACTGCTTCATAAAAACATAGACGCTAGCATAAAACATGAATAAAGCCTTCAAAATGTCTATAAAGCCACACAACCACATAACAGTCTGTCTTGCTTATCACTTTGTCTTAGTTGCAACAGTCAATAACTGGAATTACTAAAAAACCAGTTGCCGTCATGCAGCCACCCTTTTCAAAACCATACAGCAACACACGATGTGTGCTGCTTCACTCAAATTTTTTTTTCGGATCATTCAATGTGACTTTGATGTGAAATCACGATAACTGTATGTGTGCGATTTCTGCAGGAGAGTGAGGATGCAGTGAAAGCCCTGGCAAAGGAGAAGGACGTGCTGGAGAGGGAGAAGTGGGACCTGAGGAGGCAGACCAAAGAATCCACAGAGCAGGCCAATGTCTTGCGTTCTCAGCTGGATATGAAGGAGAACAGGATTAAAGAACTGGAGGCCGAGCTCACAATGGTGAGTCGGACGGAGTCACAACTTTGCTAAAGTTATTAAACCGCAGCAGAGTCACCTCCACTCTTAGCTGGTAAACGTGGCACAAATGCAAAGAAGGTCACATGTTCATATCAGTTCAGATGCATGCAATATGCCACTTCCTCAGTCTGGAGCAAAGCTTAATGCTTTGAGAGAAAGAAATTCATGCCTTATCTCTGTGCTGCTGCGTCAGTCCCTCATAGGTACACTTGTCAGTCTGTGTGTCATTAATCTCTCTCCTCCCTCAGCAAGTCACAGCCACCCACAGATCCTCACATCACACTCCATCACAGATCACATTTGTTGGCACTTCAGTGCCAGAGCTGCATCACTGTCAAACAGCCCAGTCACACAATATCATTGTCTCCTTCTTTTCTTTAAAATGTTGTTGCTTTCTCTGCCGCTAAACTCAACTTTCTCCAGTCTGTCCTCTCTCAGAGGCCCTCAGTAAAAAAATATATAAATAAAGTCCTATGGAAAGTGATGAATACATTCGGTTTATAACACTGGCTATTTTCTAACTTCAGCATATCTCAGGAATAGACCATCCTGTTGCACTTTCTAATGTTTAAAACCCACAATACTTGAAGGATCAGTCACAACGTAGCACTGATCATCATGTCACAGTGCAGCGCTCTGCTGGAACCCCTCAGCTCCCGCCATTCCCATGGATGTTTCTTTGACAGGTAACACCCAGTTAAACAGTGCTGCAGAATAAATGCGTGCTCCCTGATGGCAGCGGCCTCCACCAGCAGGGTTATGCACCCGGCCACACCCATAAAACGACAGAACTAGGAATGGCAAGAGGAATGTAACAAAGAGCAACAAAAGCTAACAGATAACAATCCGATTGAGCATGCAGAAGGATGTGTCACAACAAGCCCGATCATCGGAGGCCCCACCCTGAAACCCACAATACTTGAAGGATCCTCTGCCACTCACGAGGTCCCATGTCGTTTCCCGGAGAGGCAAAATATTAGGCAGATGTTTTCAGAGTTTCATTAAAAAAAACAGCTGGTACTCAGTTGGTCGTGTGAGATTATTTCTGATGATTTCCAACTTAAAAAAGTGGGCTTCTTAATGACTCTGTGTCCAGTGTCACAGCCAGTGGAATAAACTATAGCCTGTCTAATCTTATATCGTGTATACTGATCCTTGTAATTATAGTTAGTCCTGTAATGTTAACATCTTTGTCCCTGTTCACTCTCATGCTAATTTTCTGTTATTTATTTATTTATTTTTCTTCTTAGGCAAAGCAGTCTCTGGCCACACTGACTAAAGACGTACCAAAACGCCACTCAGTGGCTATGCCAACAGAACCGGTGGTGAACGGCAGTCAGGAGTGGGTGATGCACGCCGACCTTCCGCTCACGGCCGCCATCCGCCAGAGCCAACAGACCCTCTACCACGGACACACCACAGACAGACAGGGTAGGTTTTCTTTTCCTCCTTGCCTCGCGGCCTCTTTGCTACTTGGTGTTGCTTTTACTAACACAGGGTTTTTTCAAGGAGGTTTCTCATACTAACTGTGGGAATCTGCAATATCGGTGTGTTTGTGTGTTTGTTTGACGCCTCAGCTGTGGTCAGGATCAGCCCCTGCCACTCACGTCAGCCTTCTGTGATCTCTGAAGCCTCTGCGGCTGATGGAGACCGCTCGTCAACGCCAAGTGACATCAACTCACCTCGTCACCGGACCCACTCCCTCTGCAATGTAAGAGCTGCCTGGCCCCCTCGACCAAGTAATCACACCTCCGCAATCTTCTGTTAGTGCCTCGCTCCACTCTGCCTTCTCTTGTCTGTTCCTCTGTACTGTCAGCTTCATGGGCTCTGCTTGCCTGCTCAGTGCCGGTGTTGGAGTTCTTTTGTTTTTTCATAAGCAACAGTTTGGCATTGCACTAGCTTGGCACTGTGTAATCATGTCATGCCTAATCTTTCAATATGAGTAAGTATGAAGCAAACGTCAGCAACTGGTTAGCTTAGCTATACAGGGAGACTGTAAGTTACTCTATCTGGTTTATATTTTAAATATCATTTTTGATAATTAATCCCTCCATTCTGATAGCTTTACAGTTATTTTGGTGTTCATGCAATAATTATTACAACTAATTTGCTCGCAGTCGTGAAAAAGAGAGAATGCTTTTTAAGAAGAAGTTTCAAGTTCAATAGCAATTGTTGCTTTACGCTCTCACTCTGTATTTGACACAATGTCAAACATTTTAGCAAATAAACATAACAAACACCAATGTGTCACAAAGTGTTGTGAATATTTGTGTAACCACAAACTTTGTAGCCAGTGACACAAATGTATATACAGAAAATGTTGTTCAAAATGGACAAAACAAGAATGATGCTATTACATCATCAAAATAGCTACATGCATCTCAATATGAAATATAATTTTATTCTTAAGACGAGTAGAAACCTGAACCTATAAAACTGAAAATGTTGGGCCGAACCTCTTTATCTTTGAATTCTGTTTTCAGTCCCATTCAGGCTTGTTAATATAAAAGCATGACATCATTGTAACAAGTCAACTGGTTAATTGTCCTCCCTGCTAGATACATAACAATCAACTGTAAGTAATATTATAGACTGGTGTGGCAAACTGGTAACTTGGCCTCAAAGTGACAGATCATGTAAACTTAAATAATGGGTGCATAAAAGTCCTCAGCGTTCCTCCTCTGGAGCATAAAAACTGTGCACCGGGAGCTTCGAGGCTACGGTTTTCATGGTTGAGCAGCTCCTGTAAGTGTAATATGCAGGTAGCCTGGTACTCTTGTTCATATAGTGTATTTAACATGAAGTTAAATGAAGAAGCAGTTAAGTCTCTGGTTGAATTCACTCACTTTTTACAGCCAGATCCAAAGAAGTAAACGATAAACAACTTTTGACATAAGGCTAATTTTACGCATAATGCTGGAAAAAATAGTTGATCCTTCAAATGCAAGATAAAAATTTAAAATGCAGCGTAAATTCAGGCTGAAATGACAAATGACAAAAAGCTTTGGCATTTGTCTGGATCCAGTTGGTTGCATCTCTCTCTCTCTCCTTACTCATCATGAAAGTTTATAAAAATGTGAAACTACAGTCTGGCTTTAAGGCAGCTGATTAACGCAGCTTTCCTATCGCCTCTGCTCAGTCTATGGAGGACCTTGAGGACCAGAAGCGGAAGAAGAAGAAGGAAAAGATGACACTGGGATCCCTATCAAGGGTGTTCGCTCGGGGCAAGCAGCGCAAGTCACTGGATCCTGGCTTGTTTGATGGTACAGCCACCCCTGATTATTACATAGAGGAGGATGCCGACTGGTGATGCTGAGTGTGTGAGTGCATGTGTGTGTTGAGTTTTTTTTGTAGATATCCTCTTGGCTTTAACTGTGAGTGAAGACTGTCTGTGGATTTATCTGGAGGCGAAGGATTTTGAATTTTAAAGAAAAGCCCTTAAAGTCATTGCTATCACCATAAATGTACAGTATATTGCCCTAAAATTGTATGTTTGTAAATTAGATATATATTTATAGTTGTACATGTATGCATATGTACATATGTTTACGCACGCACGCGCGCGCGCACACACACACACATATACATATATATATATATATATATATATATATATATGGGTTACTCTTTCTTTCATGTAGACATATTTATGCTGTATTATTATAATTGTCTTAATGTTTTATGCTTTTTTTTATATAACTGGAGACTTGAAGTACTGCTGTTCATATGTAAATAGGAGCTATTGTGAAACTAGTGTTTTACTGTAAATGCTATTTGTTTTTTGTTACTTTTACAGTTGCTTTTTTCATACTTTGCAACATTTATTTCCATATTATTCACAGTCTTGCAGGCCCAAATCTTACTATGAAAGGATAGAAATGATAAATTACTAGACTTTTGGTTTCCTGTTGGTTTGAAAACACTCGTTGAGAGGTAATTCTGTTACAGGATTGTCATCACGTTCCTATAAATGCTGGCTCACAATGATTTATTTACAGCACTATGGGCACCAGGGAAGTTTTTTTGTGGATATTTTGTAAGCTAGTAATCATTTTAATAATGCTCTCGTACTGGCCATTGAGGGTTTCTAGAGTCGGTCTTCTGTAGAAATTGTAGATGTGAGCAGACGTATTCAGACGCACCTCTCTCACCTGCTGTCAAAACCATGTGCAAGTGCCAAAGTTTAAAGACTCAGTCACTCCATCACTGTTAGCACTAGCCTCGTAACATTGTTTATGTCTGACTCATTTTTTACAGAGAGCTATCTAACATGTGCCTATACGAGATGAACGAATGTGCATTAAACACGTGCATGATCCCTCTGTGTTTCTTTGGTTAGACATCCATTCATTGCCAACCAAATTAATAATCTCTGCAATCCTGTGTTACTCCTTTGTAGCCCTACCCATTTTTACCAGGTTATCTTTTCCTTGCATTTTGAATGCATGATCCTCCCCTTATTTTGCTGTTTTTTTGTTTTTTATATTTGTATAGAATCCCTCCTCATTTTATAATTTTCCTTTTTTCCTTTCCTTTTTTTTTGCAAATGTGGCTCTAACAAATCTGTTAAATGTTTGTAATTTAGAAAATGTTGCATAAAAGATTAAATCTATTGAAGTATTTTATTTAAAAGAAATGAGACAAACAAGTGACTTCAAATATTTATCTGCTGCAGCTGTCGCAGCCAGATGTCGAGGAGGTTTTAGCATTTTCAAAGTGAATTATAATTGAAATGAAATCTTATTTTAAAAATAAAACCACTAACTGAATAAATCCAATGTGGCAGTTTTCTATTTCGTGAGTAATGTTGGGTTGGTTTTTTGGGTTTTTTGTTTGTTTCTTTTGTCCCAGTCTAACGTGTGTGTCTCCCTCTCCTCCTGCCATTTCTAATGGCAACTCTCTCCTGCCAGTGAGTAACTCCTCATCTGTGATTACCAGCTGTCTGTTTCTTACACTCTGGGGATTATTCATATTACGTATCATGTCCATTGAAGAGTACCAGTTTGTGTCGTTTGTTTTTTGAAAACTCTTTGGAAAGATGGTGGGATTTGCATGCAGCCTTTTTTTTTTCAGCATGTTGAGACGAATCAGTTCATCCTGGATTCGTTGGTTCGGTATGAATCAGTGTTTCCTGTTTTTTTTTTTTCTTTTTTTGTTTTTTTAGATGAGGGGCTGATGGGCAGAAGCATGATGTTTTATGAATAATCCCTTTGTCTCTAATACATGATCCTAATGGTCTTAAGTCTCCTCATATGCCTCAGTTACTAGTGTTGTAACGTCTTTTACTAAGCAGTAGTTTTAGAACTGACCACCACACTGTCACAGAAGAACCAAAAGACCTCTGTATTCCTGAATTCAACTACTGTTTTCTATTTAGACGCATTTAAATGTGCAGTCCTATCTACTTAAAAAAGAAACCAAAAAAACAAAAACAAAGCACAGTTCATTCAAAGATACTTGCCGTCTCCAGTAAGATAATCTGGCGCCATCTAGTGGTAATATAACAAATTTTTTTCTCACGTGAACGAATTGATCTTGGTATGCAGATTTCTCCTCGATATACAGAAAAAAACTGTAGTGTACTATCCCAAATGTAGTTTAGTATGGTTCCACTTTAAGGTAGACACAATACTTTTTGTTCTGCTCCCTTCTGATTGTCTCCAGATGTGTAATCTGATTTGATTTTCATATCCAACTGACCCTGAAATTCTCCTGTATGCCACACCGTAACTTCTCCTGACCAATCCAGACTCTGATAGCCTCACACAGCAAAGCCTGTCTGATGGAGAGGAGCAGCTGGACCGCCTCCAGCAGGCGGAGCTGACTCGAAACACATGCATGTCACTGTGGAGGGCAGGTGCAGTCCAGGCCTGGCTGGAGGTTGTCATGGGAATGCCCATGTACATCCGAGCCTGCTCTGAAAACGTCAAAAGTGGGAAGGTATGATTTGGTACATGTTGCTTTTTGCTGTTTGTTTACCTGTGTGTGATGTTGTTTGATGTTAGCAGATGGACATGTTGAGGTGTTGTGTTTGTTTGATAGAGAGCTATATTTCTGCTCTTTAGGTGCTTCTAGGCCTGACGGATGATGATTTAGAGCTGGGCCTGGGTATCAGTAATCCAATTCATCGCAGGAAAATAAGATTGGCTATTGAGGATTACAGGAGAGCTGAAGGGGACCAAGGGTGAGTAACAGCCAAATAAAACTGCAGAATAACTAATGTCATGTTTTGGGGGGTTAAAAAAAACATGACCTCAAAATCTTCTCTGTGCATACTTTTCTTTAAAAATATACAGACAGGGATAAAAATGGATCGTTTTGAGTTAAATGTGTGCCACTGAAGCAGACATTTCTGGCTCAGAGTATGAGAGACGACTCCATCCATTTTCTACCACTTATCCAATTCAGGCTGGAGCGTGTCCCAGCTGTCACTGAGCATGAGGCGAGGTACACCCTGAGCAGGTTGCTAATCTGGTGGACTGCTAACACAGAGAGACATTCACACCTATGGCCAATCTAGAATTCCACTTAATCTAACATGCATGTCTTTGGGAGGAAGCTGTAGTATAAAGAGTTAACACACGCAGGTGCAGGGAGATCATGCGAGCTCCACAAAGAGAGGTCTCAGCTGGCCTTTCATTTTGAACCCAGCAGCTCCTTGCTGTGTCTGCCAAGAGAAAGCTTGTGTGATAAGAAGCCTTTAAAGCTATGTATTGTAAAAATATATATATTTTATATATTTTAAATAACGGATATCAACACGAAACTTTCCAAGTCACTTTTATTTAGATGGGTTTTCTGAAATTTTAAGTTTAATATGCATGGGTATTATATCAAAGGATATTCAGTAATATGTATATATGCACTTCAGACACAGAGAAGTAAAATAAACATCTAAATGTGTATTTTAGGACGCTTTTCTGTACTTGTTTTACTTGCTTAGTCTGATAAATGCTCCCAAATAAAGGCAGGAATATAAGTAGCAAATTTTCCACCTTAATGGTTTTTCTTTATTTTTACTACTTTCTACATTGTAGATACATGCTCAAGACATCAAATATATGAAGCAGGATTAATGGAATTATGTAGCAAAGAAAAAATAATGAATAACTATAAATATGTTTTATATTTTAGATTCCTCAAAGTAGCCATCCTTTGCTTTGCTGACAGCACTCCAAACCCTTGGCCTTCTCTCAATGGGCTCCATGATGTAGTCACCTGAAATGGTTTTCACTTCACAGGTGTGCCCTGTCAGGGTTCATTCGTGGACTTTCTTGCCTTCTTAATGGGGTTGGGGCCATCAGTTATGTTGTGCAGAAGTCAGGTTCGTACACAGATGACAGCCCTATTTGACAACTGTTACAATTCATATTATGTCAAGAACCAATCAGCTAAGTAAAGAGAAACGACAGTCCATCATTACTGACCGATTGGAGTCATTACAGGACAATGACCCCAAACACACCTCCAGGTTGTGTGAGGGCTATTTGACCAAGAAGGAGAGTGATGGAGTGCTGCGCCAGATGGCCTGGCCTCCACAAACCTAAACGCAGTCGAGGTGGTTTGGGATGAGATGGATCGCAGAGTGATGGCAAAAGTGCTCAGCATCTCTGGGAACTCCTTCAAGACTGTTGTAAAACCATTTCAGGTGACAAACCTCATGAAGCTCATTGAAAAAATGCCAAGAATGTGCACAGCTTTAATCAAAGCAAAGGGTGGATAGTTTGAAGAATCTGAAATGTTAAACATGTTTTGAGTTATTTCACACTTTTTATGCCTTCAATGAGAATCCACAATGTAAATAGTCATGAGAATAGATACTATTTAGTGTGACTGGTAGTGTGTATATGTATATATAGATATAATGCATTTGAGTAAAACAACATAAGGAGTGCATGAAATATGATGTATTTAAACAAATGTTATTGTTTGATATTGCTGATCACAGATTATCAAAAGCATCTGAGATGGACCATCACTGGGTTGCAACATCATGGCTGAGTGATGTTGGACTGCCTCAGTACTCCCAGACCTTTCAGTCTCACTTGGTGGACGGACGAGTGCTTAACTCTTTGAACCGCAGAGACCTGGAGAGATTTCTCAACATCAGTGACCAGTTCCATCAGACCAGTCTACTTCTGGGAATCCAGCTGCTGCAGATGCTCAGCTTTGATAAAGAGGTCAGACTATATGATAACAGATTCATGACTGGAGTTATTCAGCAATCTTTCTTCGATCACTGCATGACTTTCACTCAGCTACAGTGACAAAACTACATGCTTATCTGCGGTAGCTGGAGTCACACAGTAGCTTGTAATGCTCCATTATCTCATTGGCCTCTGCCACATTAGTGCTTGCACTGCTATCTTTGTGTGGTGTTTTTAAAGGCCCTGCAGGCACGGCGGACAAAATGCGAGCACCAAAACCGGGATCCCATTGTTTGGACATGTCACAGAGTGATGAAGTGGATCAGAGACATTGACCTCAAGGTGGGTGGGGCGGTCAGTGATGGCATTCCCCTCTGCGCTGGAGATTTCTTTGCCAGACTGGAACCAGATACCGCAAACTATGGGTTTTTAAGAATCCCTCAAAAATAATGATAGCTTTGTTTCTTTGAAGCCTCAAACCACTGAAAGAATACAGAAGAATAACAGTAGTGTACACTCAGTAATGGGGAATAGACCACACAGCGTGAGGGTTTTTTTTTTTTAGTTCTGCAATATACCGACATACTTATTTTGGGCAACATGTGGTGAACACTTATTATGACCCACAAAGACAAACCAAAACTGTTTTTAAAAGCTTTTTTGTTGTGTACTTGTAATTACTACCAAATTAAACGTTAAGACCAGGGAGCGATTTCTGCAAGGTTAGTTATTTTTCAGCTAACACTCACTGATGAGCACACTGAGCAAACTGCATCATCTTAATCCAACGCTTCTCTCTTGCGTTGCTCAGGAGTTTGAAGACAATCTTCAGGGTAAAGGGATTCATGGTGCAGTGATGGCTTTGGATCAGTCTTTCGACACAGATGCCATGGCCAAAGCCCTGGGCATCCCCAGCAACAAGCACATGCTTCATCGGCACCTGTATGAAGAGATGAAGTCACTCGCTGTCCCTCTCAGGTAGATTAAAAGTCCTACTTGCATACCTTCATATTCTATCCTGTAAATACATTTGTATGTATATATTCTTGGATGCAATCTCCAAACAACAACGTCTTGTAACACCTTATGTTTATAGTAATACCGAGCAGGAGACTGAGGTGATTGGTTGTTCCTCTCCTGTCGCTGTTAACCGTTTTGCTGATGAGAGGATGTCTATAAGAAGATCCGGAAAGGTATTAGACAAACTTTATAAAGACTGAAATGTGCAGTGCTGTGCAGATCCTTTTTGATATGTCACATGTTTAGATATATACTAAGTATGTGAGTACACTAGAATAAGAAAAGAAGAATCAGTAGTTGGCTACTAAAGTCTTGTGGTCAGATTCAAACTGAGGATTCTGATATAAGACCATTATAAACACTAATTACTTTTTAGCTGATAATGTTTTATAAACAGGCAAATGTCTCATCTTTAAAGAAACTCCATTTTCTGTTTTCAGCCTTTTTGATTTTTTTTCCAGAGTCCGCTGAGGTTACGAGCAAACAGCCACTCTGTGGAGCGAAGTCTGGGCTTCCACGGCAGCTGCAGCTCTCTGCCCAGAGAGGCCAGAGTTCAGGCGGTTCCCCGAGCCAAAGGCAGCCCGATGCACACCTACAAGAGTGTCGAAATCACCAACGTCTGAACCAGCTTCAGCCATCGAGATCTTAACCATTGTTTACATTTTTGTTGTGTTGCAGTTGTTTACAGCTGAGAGACACTCACACTGAGCCACACTAGAATTATAGGAAGAGAATGTCTTAAAGGGGTATGCCACTCGATTTAGTAATCTGACATCTTTAGAGAAGCATTTACTGAAGACAAATAAACTTTATCATTGTGACCTGATGGACTTGAAAGGAAGATAACTTAATAGCTAGGTTCATTTTTTATTTTAATTTATTTTTAAACTACGTATTCCAAGACTTTTATATATTATTGGAAAAATCATATTTGTATGATAGATGAGAAGGCTTAAAACAGGCTTCACACAGTTATATAATTGAAATTAGTGCTCTTTTAATGCCTTATATTACACTGGTCCATATGATCTTCACAGCACTGTTACTATTTATTACTGCTACTTTTTAACATGTTTGTTTTTTTAAGCTGCAAGTGAAAAACTCTGTTAATGACAAAAGAAAAGTTGTTATAACTTACTTTCAGTGTAAAGCTACAGCACATATCAGCTGTTATTCAGAATAGATGAGGGCCCTGTTCTTCATACATGGCTAACCCAGTTAACCAGACATGAACACTGGATTTGTTGACTGGATGTTTCTAAAATCACAGAAAGCTGTACAGAACAGAGACATCTGGAGTGCGATTAAGGTGATGGGTTTTTTGGGGGGTTTTTTGCAACTTACAAAGTACATTTAAATTACCAATCATACGTCAAAGGACTGTAAATTAGTATTCAGTTTTAGAGGCATTCACAGGTGTACTACAAGAGCTTTGAGATGGTTGAAGACAGCTATTTTGTTAGGTACACGTTGTTAGGTTCAGCTGCTTAGTAACACAAATATTTAATCGGCCAATGACAATCCCAGTGGCTCAGTTCATTTACATAGACGATAGACATGGTCAAGAGGACCTGCCAAAGCATCAGAATGGGGAAGAAAGGTGATTTCATTGACTCTGAATGTGGCGTGATTGTTGGTGCCGGGCTGGTTTAAATATTTCAGAAACTGCTTATCTGCTGGGATTTTCCCAGTCATCCCTATCTCCACAGTTTACAGAAAATGGGCCAAAAAAGAGAAAATATCAAATTTGTGGCAGTTTTCTAAGACGAGAAGCCTTGCTCATGTCCAAGTAGAATCAAAAATTGGTTGCAAACCCAATTTACAACCAAGGCATGCAGGACAGCAGCCATGCTGAAGACTGATTCCATACTGGGACTTGAACCTGTGTCAGCTTTGTGAAAAAACAGAAATCCTACAACTGCTAGACCATACGGGACTTAAATGAAGAAGAGAGCGATTATTTTCACGTGAGAACCCAGATAGATAGATTTTGTTTGATATTGTGTGTAATAATAATAGTTTTTGGACAATAACTTAAGAGAAGAAGCTAATGAGATGATTCTCAATTCTGCTCTGACATTCAGATGGTAGGGTCAGAATTTATTATAAAAAATATGAAAGCATGGATCCATCCTGCCTTGTATCAGTAATATCAGTGACGGTGGCGTAATGGTGCAGGTGCATATTTTCTTGCCACACTTTCAGCCTCAGTACCAGCTGAGCATCATCTAAACCCCACAGCCTTCCTGAGTATTGCTGCTGACCATGTCCATCCCTTCATTCATGTTTAATATTTTGTGTTTTGTCTCTGTGAAACTGTTAAACTCCTGAAGAATGGCAGTAAAATACAAAACCCAAAGGTTTTTCTCATCTCTCTATTTTGATCTACCTCGTCACCTTCTCCTGAATCGCCCTGTCATTGACTCAGAAATTGAGCAGAAGCCAACTTCAACAAAGTCTTACTTCCTTAAATGCATCTGGAGGAGAGAGGAGGCCCAGGCCTGTCCTTTGCAGAAGCCTTTACAATACTTGTGCCATTAAAAAAAAAAAAAAAAAGCACGATGCTTAACTTGTCATGCAATGCCACTTTGGTCATTACCACTGTTACTATCATCTGCCAGAGATCATGACATAAAGTGGCAGGCTGTAGAAAAAGAAAAAGAAAACAATGAACTGACAATGAAGCTGTGCCACGCATCGTATTTAATTGGGATCACTGGGAAATGACAGGTCAGAATGTTTCCAGTTTTTGTTAAAAGCCTATTGTCTCAGCTCCTCTCTCTCTGTTAGTGCAATCACATGCTCAGCATTCAGCCAGTATTATGCCTCTCCATAACTTTTCCCTTGAACTTTTATTTGGGATTAACAAACCAATCCTAAAGGAGGCTGAGAGAATCAGATTAGATTGACGAGACTAAACCAGCTTCTTGTAACCTGAAAAAAGTATTTTAGCCTAAATTCCTTCAGATTGAAGAACAGGGCCCTCAAGTGCCATCAGCTCTAAATGTGTAAGATGATGCTACTAAAAACAATGACATGTGAAGTGTGTGTCTTCTTCTGACAGCTGGTATACCCATAATTAGGTTTTTTTTAATGTAAAAGATGATGCAGTCATGCAGTGTGATATGTAGATAAATCTGTGGAATGTTGGATTAAGAATGTGGTAATGTATAAAGACTCCACATATGTGTATTGTGTGAACTGTGAGGAAGGCAAAACTTTGTGCCATTATACTATGAAGTTAATGGAACAGTGTATTCTGTACAGTTTTGGTCGTGTTTTATAATGCACAGCTGTTCCTGAGCATGAGAACACTCATTAAATGCCACCGCTGGGACTTGCACAGAGCCACACCGAGTGTGGCTGAAACCTTGAGGTTACTTCAAATAGCAGAGAACAGGTTTGTCCGTCTCTATCTGGGCGTCTCGTTGACTCACCAAAGCGAAACTGTTTAAGCGGGAAGATCAGACCAGTTCAAACCTGTACAGAGAAAGAAGACAGGGACATGCAATGTATTTGCTTTTAACACATGACATATACATCTCTTTGCAAAGCAGTACAAGCTTTTCATACATGTCAACATGAAAGTGGATTTATTGTAAATTGTTGCATAAAATGTAAGACTGTTATTGTTATTTTTGAGGAGAAATGCATTAAATTTGTGTTAACAAACTCAGAATGTAAAGTTGGTCCAGATGTAAATTGTTTTTTCTTCCAAGGGTTTTGAAAATATATCTTTCTGTTTGCATACGACACTTCTGTGTTATCTTAAAAAGAAGCTCAGTCACATTAGCCTGTTGAGTTGGTTATTATAAGAGCTCGCATCATAAAAAACTATATGGACATTATTCTCATTTATTTTTTATTAATTGCAGTGATCTGACTTACCTTATTCTCTGCTCAAAGATCACCGTATGAGAGCAAGATGAATTTGTGTCACTTTAGCACCAGAAGGTTGTGCCACATCTGGCAAGAAATAATAATAATAATAATAATGGATTGCATTTATATAGCGCTTTTCAAGACCCTCAAAGCGCTTCACAATTCTACTATTCATTCACTCTCACATTCACACACTGGTGGAGGCAAGGTACAGTTGTAGCCACAGCTGCCCTGGGCAGACTGACAGAAGCGAGGCTGCCATATCACGCCATCGGCCCCTCTGGCCAACACCAGTAGGCGGTAGGTGAAGTGTCTTGCCCAAGGACACAACGACCGAGACTGTCTGAGACAGGGCTCGAACCGGCAACCTTCCGGTTACAGGACGAACTGCCAACTCTTTAAGCCACGATCACTCCTGTAAATGGTAGCAGTTTGCATTTAACAAACACAACATGGCCCAAGTATAGACACTACTAGCATGGAAAGGGTTAAAGCTGACTAGTACAAATTAAGATAGCATTATAGCCCATTAGCCATTGCTGTACTACAGGCTGTAGTGCACTCTGACCTCTTGGCATCTAAGCAGAGCAGGTCCCAAGGACCTTGGCACACAAGGCACCTTGGCACCTGCCACTACAAAAGTGTATGAGGCTTCACATTTAAATATTTCCATTAATCCCAGTAATTATCTCAAACTAAAATCACTGGTAGTGTTAGGGATCTCCTCTATCACTGACCCAAGATATGAAAAAAAGACACTTTCTAAACTATAGCTGACAAAAACGAACGCACCAACAGCTCTTCTAGAGCTTTCATTAGGATTATTAGGATTTTCATAAGGATTTAAATAAATAATTGAATCCCCTGAAGGTCATGTGATAAACGGCCTTTTTCTATAAAGATGCTCTCTTAGGATCTTATCACGGGAGCTCATTTTCTCTTTTAGATACCAAAGATACTTTGACAAAGCATGTAGTTACTTACTTGAATAATCAGGCCCTACCTTATTTTAAGCTTCCAGGCCCCTCTGCAACCATTAGTTATTATTCATTTCTGTCTTGTGTTCCTCCTCATACACAACGGTCTCGGCAGATGGCTGCCCCTCGCTGAGCCTGGTTCTGACAAAGTTTCTTCCTCTTAAAAGGGAGTTTGTCCTTCCCACTGTTACCAGGTGCTTGCTGTATTATCTTACAATATAAAGCACCTTGAGGCAAGTGTTGTTGTGATTTGCAGCCATATACATACAATTTAATTAAATTTAAACAATAAATATTTATAAGCAAAATTATGAGTTCAATAAATGCACCCTTAATAAATTCACCAGCAACTAAATAACCAAGATTTGCTTATTTTTATTTTTACAGAACATAAATATTTTACTCTGGGCTCTGAAATACTGTCTTATTCCTGTAAGACAATAGTTTTATTGTTCTAATATCTAATTGTGTGTGTCTGTAATTAATACAGTTAATACATCCAACATTAATCGTGTTGTACAATACAATTACTTTATTTCAATAAGCTGTTTCTGGGCGTCTCCTTGTACCACTAATTTATTCCCGGTGGAGGTTTACTTGAGCAGCACTAGGACCAAGAGGACACGGGCGCACTTTACAACAGGGGGTGGCGAGGTTTCACTACGCTTGGAATTTGTGCAAAGTTCTTGTTAACTCTGTTTTTATCTGCAGCGGTAAACATTGTGTTGATCAATTCGTCTGAGATTTAAAAACTTTTTAAAAGGAAAAAAAAAAGTTGAACCGGCCCTGAATTGCTGCGTCTATGTCGTCTCCCTCTCTTCCCCTCTGATCTTCCTGAAAACACCTGCGTGAGTCAGGTAACTCACCGATGAAGAGGGAAGTACTTGGCCACTGAACGGTGAAAAGGTAAGGCCTACACTTCAGAGCTAAGCTGATTTACGCTCGTATATACTGTGACCAGGACTGTTATCGATCTAATAGACACAGTACGCGAGTTGTTAATCTTTCTCAGTGTCATTGCGTGGGGTTCAATCCAATCTGACCTGTGTCCGGACACGTTTAGATCACAGAGTAATTCATGTGGGCAGGTCCACCCTCTCCCCTTCCTGCTTCACCAGAAAGCATTACCAGCGTTTTTATTTACTTTGACAGTAGTAATATCGGACTGATAGATCTGTTAATGTTACCCACAAAACAGACCAACTGGGCCGGTGTTTATTACCTGATAAGCCGAGTTTTAATGCAGAAAATTTACTGATGTTGAACGGGACACACCCATGCAATACAGCAGGCCTGCAATGTAGAGAAAATGAATGACAGCGTTGGTCTATATGTAGTCCTCTTTTGCAGCTGTCACCTTCTTTTCGTCCTTGATCATGTGTGTTTAATAACTGACGAGGGGAACACCAGGACCTGGTCAGATACTGCATCCATTCAATAATTCTTAATGATCAAGTCATGAATATCAAAGTGGAGATGCAATAATTCAGCTGTTCCCCCCCCCCCCTTATACTAAATTTAGTCGCCTGCCCTCTGCTAAGGCAGACTACATTAAATTACATTTTTTCTTTCACCACAATAATGTTTTTTAATTGATTAGGCACTAAAAACGTAGTTTGCAGTCCACCACCATTATCTAATGAATGTGCCTGCTAGAAACTATATTTAATATAGATATTCAGTCCATTAAATAAGTATCAGTTGGTCCTTACAGCATGAATGAGCATTCAGAGTGTAATGCTGTGAAACAGGATGTGCGTTAGGGCTGGGTAATTGTCTCTGAAGTCATTAATGTGAAACAATACTTAAGAAAAACACTGAGAAATGTATGAAAAATAACTTGTATATCAATTTTAACTGGTTTTCCAGTAAAATAAATTATGTTTAGCTGTTGTTCATTATGTAAAGCTGTGTTTAGTTTTTTTAGTTTTTCTTTTTGTTTGTTATTTTTTTAATTGGTTAGCATGCTCCACTAACTGTTGTGGCCAACTATACATGATAAATAACAGCTAAAGTGGGGAAAAAAACACTTGAAGTGAGACTAGTGAATAATAAACAATATTAAAGTGGTATAAATGCTACTGAAATTATTTTGATTGCATTATTAATAATCGCTTCTGTAGTAATTTAAAAAAAAATGCCACAATGAAAAATAATTACTACTTAAGCTATAAAACCTATTAAATAAGGTAAGTGATATTAAATAGATTTCTAAATAAGCAAGGCTAAATTTAATCTCATACCTGCAAAAATATATCTCAATACTTTTTGACAGGGATATGTGTCTATGGGCAGAAATCTGTGACATCAGAAACTGAATTTGAATAAGTTCAATTTGAATTTGAATGGCTCAGATTGAATCTGAATTGTAACTTGAATAAATGCTTTTGAAAACTGAATTTGAATTAGTCTAATTTGAAATTGAATTTATGGTTTGAAAATGATCATCACTAAATTGAAATTGAATTTTATATTTTGAAAATGAATTGATTT